GATACTTGAAAATAACATATATTGTATGATTGTATAAATAGGAAAAATTTAGAGAAAATTGAAACAAAGGAACAATGAAACTTTTTATACATAAATCTTAGAATCCTTAATTTGTTTGATTGATCTAATACTGATAGGCCCTGGAGATAGTATTGTAGAAGGTAGAAGAAGCAACAAATGACTAAAGAGGATGACGTGCCACAAGAAGAGGATCCATCGGTTTTAGAAGTTTGAGATGGAGTATTAATATGATCCTACAGTAGAATTAGAGTCTTTATCCTTAATTTGAAAAGTGCCTAAATTCAGAAAAATTGTTGGTTAGTCAAGTTTAGAGGAGAACCTAGCTAAATTTCATTGTAATCCTCTTTGATTTAATAGAAGATTGGTTCCGAGTCTTTTCAAATATTTTCTTAGTACTCGGATCCCATCAACGAGTGTAGATGGGATCTCAAAACTATCATACAATTTATCAACATCACAAGCTTTTTTTTGCCAAGACATCCGCAATATGATTTTTCTCGTGTTAATATGATACAGTGAGCACATAGGAAGTTTAGAGATCTAGAATCGAATATCATAAAGCAGATTTCCAAGTTTAGTGATTAAAAAAACCAACTCTTTATTCAAACCAAACATATCGAAATCCTAATATCCAAACTGTTTGTAAGGCGTGAAAAAATCCCATAATTTGTGCTTGTAACGAAGATTCCACCCGATGTAATCATCTCTGAAATGGAAATGTCTAGAACCCAAAAGATAATCATCTTCAACCTTCTAGACAAGCTCCGCCGTTCACTTTTGAGAGCACATTAACGACGATTTCCATCACCTACACGCTTCAAAGTTGCAATTCCTAAAATCACCTTTCGTAGCCACCGCAGCATATGAAGCAATACTCCTTGATCGTTACAAGAATCGGGAAATCTCGAAACGGACCATGACACAAACCGGTCAAATAAGTCTTGATCAAGACACTTTACTCTTAAAAGCCTTCAAGGCGAGTAAAGACTTGCGCCCATAGAAATAAAGCCTAAAACGAAACAAGGAGAATTGAACATAAACCAAGCGGGATTGACAGTAGAGACCGAAAGGCGAAACAAAACAAAAAACAACAAACTCCGGTCAAGCCGGAAAACCGCAACCGAACAAAGTCGGAATCAAAATCGGACAAAGCCGAAAGCTTCAGATCTGAAACCCAAAGAAATATACACCTAACCGACATAGCACAACAAAATATAGAAATATATACATACCGGACCGGCACCATGGCTAAGGAGGCCCATAGCACCGGCCGGAATCAAGCATATCTCATTAAAGAAGCTTTTTCAAGAAGAAAAGAGTTTTAGAGAGAAAATGGAGAGATTTTCTTTTCTAAATCTATGCTTTTTTGTTCTTTTTTCTTGTTTGGTCACATTGCTTGTTGGTATTATTTTTTAAAAATGTAGGAAATAGAACATTTTTCCCTCGGTCGAACAAACGGATCATTTAATTTTAGGCCGGTTCAGATAAATGGGCTTTTTGGGGAAAACACATAAGTGGGCCCATTCTGTAACGTTAAATATGAATCCGTGCAACCAAACACCCCTGATCCATTTAGGGTTGTCTGCAAATTTCGATCTCAATGGAATCCTCCGATCTGGAAGTGTCCACGCCGGGGATGAGCGTGAAACAGATCGGGGAGAATTATAGACGCCTCCTCGAGGAGATCGATCGGAAGAAGGCGGCTAGAGGAAACGATGGAGACGCGAAGAAGAATGCGGAGAAGATGAGAATGGTTCGAAGGCATAAAGAGAGGTTAATGAGGCATTTGAGGCGGAAGACAG